AATTGAAGTTTAAAATCAGTGGACAGCGTTTATTTACAGGAACAACCATATTTAGGTATCTGTAGCTGCTTTTCGATACACCATATTTGGTATGTAGGTGTAAATGTAGTTTATCAATCATTGTTTTACAAGTTTAGACATTCGCGCCTATGGCGGGTGTAATGCTATGTATAAAACGATAATGCCGGATTAGATGAACTAGGAATTTATTGTGGAGATATTTACAATGTGAGCTGATCGCAGACAGATGGAAGAAGACACTAGGAATAAAAAAGTGAATATGTAGTCAAGGTGAAAATAGTGATGTGCACTGCTAATAGTGCGTTGCCACACGCGCTTTGTTTTTTTTTCCGACTCTTTATTTTTGGAACTCACTTAAAATAACTACTCATTGCAAATTAAACTATTTCTGCGCATCTAAATTGTATATATTTGCTTTTTTCTAACAAACCACAGCTGACATCCGTGAACATTGGAAATGTGAAGAACCCGAAACGTTGTTTTGTTTGAAAAAACAAATAAATTTAGATCTGAAAGAAAATGCTTCATTTCCAATAGCGAAAACTTTAGAACTCAGTAACTATTTACTTACTTCAATAAATAATTAAAATAAGGTAGCGTACGTAAGGTAGGTAGTGTACCGTTAACATGTAGGTATATTAGGTTTTAAGAATAGAACACATATTTTATAGATCAATATAACAATGGCTACTAGTGTAGTCTTTCTTGGCAATTGGTGGGCTTTTCCTGTAGGTACTTCAAGTTGTAGGGACAGGAAAATCGAAACGATATTCGATCTACAAGGAAGTACATCAAGGAAACAAAACTATTACACGTGATATAGCTGTTTAGTTATTTATAAATACGCCTTTACCTATACAAATACCTAGGAAAAGAAAGTGTTTCTCGGATCTAAAATTTTTCAAATAAACCAAAACCAAAAAAGCTTTGTTAACAAAGCTACGGTAAAAAATACCCTTAAAAACGAAAAACAACAATCTGTAACAAGCACATAGAAAAATTCGTAAGGTCCGCTAGTTCGATCCCTGGATTAGTTGGCATAGCAGCTGGCACGTTTTTCTGGAAGACGTTTGTTCGAATCCAGCCGGATCGCAGTAATTTTTTCTAAGTGTTTTCTTCTTCTAAGTGTTCTCATCTTTGTATTGTATTATAATTATAACAAACTGGTGGAGCAATTTCCCAAAAATAATTGGATATAATGGTGGTCAAACATCATGACATTCAATAAACTTATAAGTTACAAATATTCACGATTCCGATCAGAAAAATTGTTTCATTTCCTATGAGTAACAATCGGGAAATCCTAAGTACACGATATATACCAAACATCATTCCAGACTTTCAACGTGTTCCGTTTAATTCGAATGACCATTTTTGTCCACGTCTACTTTCCACGGCGAGATTGTAGACAAACGTGTCTCTATAAAAACAGATTCAAGTAGTTTTCTAATATTGCCTTTTCTAACTTGTCATTAGATTGTAATGACCGAACATACATACCTATGTACACGAAATAACATTTTCAATACAGATGCGCAAATAACTGCAGCTCGTTGTTGTTTTGCGGAAAAGTACTTAAATAGGTTTAGAAAATTAAACCATAGACTCACTAAATTGGCATAAATAAATAAGTTTTATTTTATTTTATTTAGTGTCTCAACATTTTGTTTATAAAACAAAAATCTACAGGCTGAATGCATATCACTGCATTTTAAATTTTGATTTGTTATGAATAAACCTTTAATCTCATGCGTAACACGAATCGTCATTTTTAAATGGAGTAGGAGGGGGTTGATGCGAGGCGGTCACGTTACCCTTGAACATTTGCTTTTTTTTTAATTATTGCTGGCCATGGAAACAAAGTCCTTCAGCCGAAAACATAAACGTTTAATTATATTTCTGTAAATATGGCCACCACAAAGAGGATAGGCAATTTGAGGCGGTGTGCTTGGATTGACTCGGGATTCCTTAGAACGGGCCGATACGGGTATTTTAGTTCGAGATTCGTATAGTTTCGCGTTTTAATCTTCGATTAAGGCACAATAGCACTATCCTATTCCACTTTAAACTAGATTTCACAAAATAATTGAAAGTCAAAATAAAAACGACACTTTTCCCTCCAAAAGGCCCAGAGCGAATCTTGAACATTTGCAACACCTATGTGTTGCCAGCCTTTGAGAGCCCTATTTACTCGCTTTTTGAAGAACCCCGTGTCACATCACAAAGGAAACACTTCAAAAGGGAGCCCATTCCGGACTTTGCAGGTTCTCGGGTATTCGGGTATTTGTAATCACATTTTGATTTGCCCGATATTATGAAAATACCTTCGCCCGACATTTTGATTGAAACGCAAGTTGCAAATGGTTATTTCTTTTCACGGATATTTAGGGTGGAGTGTCACATTGTTATATTGTTTGCAATATCCTATTTTTGCCCTAGTAAAACATTATACCATTCCATTAAAAAAAATGCATTTATTGTAATTTTTAAAGGTCCTATCTGATCACCGTCTACAAATTTTCTGAAGTAAAACAAAAAGGGCTCAAAAAACTGGCAAAATAAATCTATTACAATTCATATATATTTACAAATTCATTTTCAACAAATCTTTTTATAATTTATGTAAAGTTGCCACGGAAATTTCTAGATAATCAGAGACAATTCAAGTTCATTTAGGACAATTTTTACAGTAGTGGTAAAGACGACCAATCACAATTTACAGACAGGACGTTCTAAATCAATTATTGAAATAAATCGACTTCAAAGAGCTCACCACACACAGCACAGCTGATTACTATTCAGGGCGAGCGGCGAGCGCTCTACGGGAACGGCGATGTGCGCCAAACGAGCCTTAACTTTCCCATTACGTCGCGCGCTTTTATGAGTCACGACAGCCATTAATTTCGTATGACAAATCAAAGGCATCGTCCTCAAAAAAACGGGGAATTACTTGCTATACGTTGATAACTACTGCAATATCAAGTAGTAATTTGAACTCCTATCCCTTTAGGCAATTACTCCGCGTTGCAAAAATGCAACTTTGTTTATAAAATCTGCTGTAAATTGCTTACATAGAAGTTTTCTAAGTGATCCAAACGTGTTCCAAGTCATGTTAAGATTGTTTAGATTTGTTTGTCAGCGCATTTATTATTTACTTCTCATGTAGCTCATGTAGCGTAAAGTACAATGTTTCAAAGGCGATGTTCTAAAACTATGATGGAACTCGAGAGTGACAACAAAAAATACTTAAAACTTCGGTACTAAATTAGAAATTCGTTTCGTCAGCCGAACCGGCAACGTCTGCTATTTCGGAGATGTCAATCGACCCCTTGTTTCGTCGACTTACAAAATATGCCAAGATGAGAGATCGTTGACTCCTTGATATTTCGATAATTTGACACAAAAAATCGGTATATTAATTTCCTTATGATAATGAAAATCGTAAAGTTAATGGAGACATAAATATTGTTCTGCGAGACCGTTCACATGAAGTAGCCAAAAATATCTATACTTACATAACCTATTGCATTAAATCCAAAAATACCCTTATTACTTAATTACATTATTTCATACCTTATTAAGAATGTTACACATACATTCGTGTCTCCAAGTTCTGTCACAAGAATACGTAGATAAAAGCCCTTTATAAATAATTGTTTTGCAAATGTCCAAGAGTGTTTATTTTGCACTCGTTGCCGTCTCACTCGGCAGTTCTGCATTCACATTCGTTGTACAGATAGATCGTCAAGTGTCTGCGCCAGAGGAAGCGAGTCACGCCAATTAAAACGAACGGCCCTAATTGTAACCATTTTAGCTCGATTGCGCCAGAGGGCGGCGTCGAGCCCTGCCCCTGTGTGTCAAATTGCAATACTGTTTGTTCTAACGGGTTACCCAACATAGCGTCTAAAAGCATGGAGTTAATCGTTACAAATACATTCGAATTTCGTAAGATCTGAGAATAGAGAACTGTTTATCCTCAGGTGAACGCTAACCAAATGATCAGGTGTTATAAATCTTATTCCTTCTCGTATCCACAGAATATTAACGTCAAGAGCACATTTGCGATAGCAACACGTAGTTCTTACTTAGTAAGACTGTGATTGGTTTTATTGTCAAAATAACCACAGTCAGTGGATATTTTTTATTTATTTACGTATATACGTATGAGTAAAAAATGCTCCGTTATTCTGAATCTGCAACTTCTAAACATCAATCATTAACAATCACTAATCTATGCATTGGCACTTAATTAACACTGGTTTCTAACTCAGAATTATTCAAAAAAGACCTTAACCGTAGATATTACAGTGGGACGATGTGATGATGCAACTAAGAGAAGTTAAACGTCAAAGTATGCAGGAGCATGAAACTCGAGACTAATCGATTGGTGCCGGGTGGGTGCGCGAGCGCGTCTGCAGCGTCATGGGGCGGGCAAAGGAAACAAGATTGTAATATATTATGAAGAGAACATTTCTCTTAAACAATTTTTCGACGCGTAAGCTGATGCTAGCTTACTGAACTATATATGGCTCTAACTAATAATGTTTAACAAGACAAGGTAGGTAGGTTGCGATATAAATTTACACATATATGTAGAGAGCTAATTAACGAGTAATTGCGCGAAATTGATTGTATGCTAATAGTTTGGTGTTTAAGCCAGCCATCAAAGCTGAAAAACCTATGATGTTTTGTTTTCGTGAATTATGCCAACATACGTCCTGTCAATTTATTTAAAATCTAAATCCGATTAAATGTTTCAATGAGCAGCAATTAACGTCTAGTCCCGCCATCTGCTATGTAATTTTGGAAGTATGATTACAACGCCACCTATTATTGGGTAGATATACTACTAACTATCTTAGCAAGCCAATTAATATCTTAGTAGTAATACTACTCGACCGTAGATGGCGCTCACAACCATATTATAACTTTTATAAGTATTAGATGGCGCTATACGCTGTAAAAATAATGTGTCGTACCTTGAACAGGGATAGCTCGTAAAGAAACGGCATCTTCTTCGATTTCATCTTCTGCCTCCTCTTCGGTGATGGAAGGTGGCGCCGCCCAGCACCGTAGTCGTACTCCTGCATTCCCCGCGTTTCCACCATCTAATCTCACTCTAGGAAGACTCCGAGTTGTGTACTCGCCGTTGTTATTGGCAACCTAGTAAATGAAAAATTCAAGTTAAATAAGAATTGTGTAAATACCCAGTACAACTCGGGCTTCAATAATGCGAAAAGATTCAAATGACCCAAACAGAAAAAACAAAAAACCCTTTTCGTCGCATGTGGCATCTGTCAAGATAATTTTTTGGCATTTTACGGCAGCTGTTGTTACTAAAATGCTGGTTACAGTTTCTTGGATAGAAGTTTGTGAACTAAGTAGATTTCTTGACGCAGTGCTCATGTGCACTGCATAAAATTTCGATAAGTTAGCAACAACACCATAGTTACCATATACACAAAACACTCGTCAATCCAACAAAGATGAATGGTATCAAGTCACTAATTACGTCACAAAGAGTAGATACAAACTATGCAACTCATAAAAATAAGTGACCAGTTCATTGATTGATAATATTGTGCTATAAGATCGCGATAGTTTGCGTGCACGAACACGGATAAACGACCCGCATTCATATCTTGGCGATTATAAATCGTTTGCTATCATTGAAAGATTCACTTTTGTTGACTAAGTTTTTTAATCGATTGGGTTAAAATTTTGGCAAAGTGATTGAATGAGTGAATAATTCTGATATCAGAATCCTACATGCGTTTACTACTAGGAGCTTTACTGCTACTAAAATACACACTTTTGAGTGACTTTAGTTAGTTGTATCTTACACAAATTTTAGCTCATAATTCAATTTTGCAACAGAATTTGTACCTACTATTAGAACATTCGTCTTCATAAGACTATCGCTTCAAGAGATCTACTAATAACCAGTAGACCTTAAAAGTGACTGCTTCCTTAATCGTTGCCGTTACCTTAATCTTAAAGAGCGAATTATCAATCAATCGTTATAATCGGCTCTATGATTTCAACTTCAATATGTTAATATAAAAACAGCTTACGAGTCGATGGGCTGGTTCCGTGGGAACCATTCGCCGCGTTGGCGCACCACAAGCATAAACAACACCTTATAGGGTACCTCTGGATGCTCAAGAACCCTTTTACATTGTCAGATGATGTTTGATATAAATCAATATCAATCAGCAACGTGAATCAATGAGAGATCTTTTCGATTGTGATTTGATAAAATGTTTCTTTGCTTTCTCAATGGATGATAGTTTAACTTAAGTTTAACTTAATAATAATAATCTACGACAGTTAAATCATTTCAAAAAGTTCACGTAATGCAGTCGAAGAAAAGACGTGTGAACTGCACCCCTTTTTTTAACAAATAGAGAGTATGATTGCTATCAACTCACTTTGGTATCAGATCTATTTATATCAGATCGCAGATAGTGACTTATCCATTCTAGAGCCATTTTTTCCAACATGACCAATACCTTTTACTTTTTCTTTGTATTTTTTTTTTGTAAACCTCCTTGTGGAAGAGTTCGTCTGGGAATGTACTGCCACCTTACCTATTTCTGCCGCCAAGCAGTAATATGAGTGTTACTGCGTTCCGGTTTGGAAGGGTAAGGGTGCTGGGGAAATTACAGGCACTTGGGACTTATCAACTAATGTGTCAAGACGACGGGTGCAGTGGCAGTGCCCCTAAGATCTTTGCGATTTAAAGCTCTGAGTGACACTGCATCTGTTATGGACAGGCGTGTCGCTTACCAGGGCCACAACTCATTCGCCCCGTTACTTAGGATCGTATTCCAGACCTATACTCAATACTCAAGTCAGGACTTGAGTATTGCAGTGGGCACTGAAAATCATACTCAAGTCTGCTCAAATCCTGACTTGAGTATTGAGTAGAGTTCTGGAATACGACCGTTAGTATCCTAAAAAAAACCAAGCCATTAGTTTCTTTGTGCTGCCATTGCATTTATTATTTATCATAAGCGTCACAGAACTATATATAAGGCTAACTCCCATGCTTCGCTATACAACTCGAGCCTCTCATAGTCTACGATAAATGCCAATATCAATCCTCACATGGTACTACAGAATCCTAAGCATTTAAGCACGTTAACGTCGGAATAACTGTACCGTGACGGAATATCGATATACATAACATATCAAGTACGATTACTCCAAGTCACATGATACTTAACATTCTATAATAGCCTTGTGACTCCTCTCAAATGCTACTCATATTATACTCAACAATCATGTTCATATCAATAATAGATGGATTATTATTGTAATACCTTTGCAACGTTCTATTTTAAATTGAGCACACTTTAAAACCATTTAAAGACGACCGTCAATGCCGAGGAAATGAATAATGTAGGCACAGGTTTCGGATTTTGGACCGGCTTATCGTAAATAGAACGGAAGACATCAACGGCGTCCATACCTCACCATAGTCAGTACAGAGTGCTAAAGAAACCGACTTCAAAAGTCATTCATCCACTAGCTTGCCACCCTTAGAGGTGGAATACTGTTTCCAACAAAAAAAGAATCAACAAAATCGGTTCACAAATGCTTAAAACTTATCGCGTAACATTCATACAAAAAAAAAACACACAGTCGAATTGAGAACCCCTCCGTTTTTTTGAAGTCGGTTCAAAATAACGAACCTAAGAGACTAGCTAATAGATTAGTTATTGAATTTCTTGTTCAATTTAATATTTATTACTCAAAGACATTATATAATGTACAAAGTACAGGATATATCTAATTAGAAAGTCGACATAATTCGCAACGAAACTTCCTTCTAACATATCGCTTCGCAACTCGAAATGATCTCGTAATAAGAGATATATGACTGTATAAACCACTATCTATTTTAATATCCATAAACCCGACAATATCTTCCGCGAGCTTTCGTAAGCTTTTATGAACGTAAAGGCATCAAGCATCTAATGTGCAATAAACAACGACGATGCTGTTGTACACAAATTGACTTCAAACGAGTCTATACAAATGTGACCTAATTACTTGTAACGTTTCCTGGTAGGAACCTAAAGACGGATAACACATGGGCATCAAAGATATACATAGCATAACTTTTTATGCATATTTAAACATAACGATAGACCAGCCAAATAAATATATTTATCGGATCTGTACTACATACCAAAGGGAGAAAGTTCATAAAATTACCATCTCCCACTTATATGTATATTATGGGAGCATAGAGCCTTAAATGGGCTTCAGTTGTTATATTAATAGAAGCCCAACAAGCAATTACGGGTGTGCATCATGAGTAATTGATACAAATGACACATTTGGAAGGATAATAGTAACACAAGTAACAAACAATACATTAGACATTAATAATCGCTTTATATAAACACACTATGAACATATATTATGGTGTGATACAAAAAGAAAGTTAGACTTCGCCTTGTTATGGTGATAAATTAGAGATATATAGAAAAACTAACAGGTATTTTTAGAAACTGCAGCGTAAACTTGTGCCGTTCGTAAACAAATAAAAATAAACAGTATGCTTACGACTTTAAATTCATTATGAAAAATATAACAATATTATAAAATGTATATTAAACGCAATAAGATCTTTCTTATTATGTAGGCAAACTTTATTTATTATAAGTAATTTCACATTGTCACCACGGTTAATTGTTCACGAGACATCTGCAGAATCGCTCAGCGAGTACGTTTTCGTATAGCGGTATATATAGAGAGTAATTTAAGATAAGACACTAGTTCGTTTATTTAGCTAAATAAACAGTTAAGATAAATTAAGGAATATACATGTATTATCGAGCCCCTGTTTTAACTTTGAACCATGTAATCTCCGTAGAGCTAGGCTGAAATTTATAAAACGAACTTTGACTTCGACTAAGCAAAAATGGCGAGTTAAGGAAGTTTTTCCTACAAAACGAACTTTGCCTAAATTCATCCCGTTCATGGACAGTAACGGGCATTTACCGTAAAATTAAATATCAGAATAAATTATAGTACGGAGTATCCCGTTTTGTTATATGGATCTCAAAAAACCAACTACGAGCTTTACAGAGCGATTTCCAAGTGCTTTTTGTGAATTTGCCGCTTACTGCTTTTCCATAGAGAAGTATCAACAACGTACTAACAAAATTCAATGATTTACATAAATTGATCGTTTTATATTGTATTAATATAAGCACTGCAGCAAGAAAAGTACTGATAGTTTTGTGTGCGATACTATATAAGTACAGTCCATGAAAGGGTAAGCAAGAAATTAAATTAAATTATGAGTTGGTTTTGTAAATATAGAAAACCCGCTTAGTTCGCCTAATCTCTCTTCTACTTATGATAATGGAGCCTTTGTTGCATGAAATTATTCGAAATATACATAATAAAAGGTTACAATGCAAGTGTCACATATAATTTGAGGTAGGCAAATAATTGATTAGTGTAACCTTATGCTACGTACTCGTATCATACACTAGACACCTAGGGGCTTCATTGCAGTATACTGATGTAATAGTATGTGATAGTATATTGATGTATGTCCGCCTAAGCTAGAACTTGAGAATATTCTAGGCTCATTAGGAGAACGGTAGTGCTACTCAACGGTAACGATCTTCAGCCTAATGTGCTACACAGTCAATATGCTCATTTGCACCCAGCAGCATCAACTAATGAACAAACATGACGGTGATTCAACGTAGAAGTAAACTAAAGTTGCAGTCTGGCAATACTTTAGATGCAGTCGATACGACCACATGCCGTTCGTACACTAGCTGCAGGTGAACTACGGTACGTACATACATATGACTACATCCTAAACTTCTCAACTAGATCCACCAAAAGATCTACTTAAACATCAGACTATTCAACTATATCTAATCCAGTAGCTAATTATAAAAATATATATATTATCGAGGAAGTAGTGCTGCTGTATATGTGTAAATTTTTTTTAGTAGCCTAATGAGTCCTACTGTTGGGCATCTCCTCTCTCTCTCGTCTCATCTCATCTCTCGACTTCCACAGTTCCCTGTTAGACGCAACGTTAGGTCAGTCTTCTACATATGCATCCAAGTCATCCCGCCATCTCCTTCTCGATCTGCCTCATTGATGCTAGCCGTTCCCACCCA